ACTTCATCTTTTATCTCACAATTTCACGGAAAGTTGTTTTTGGCAAACACAGTAGAATCTCATAAAATGAACTCCCTCGTTTGTGAACACCCCGTTTAACTGATTACTTCGAGAACGCCCGAGCATATTTTGCTGGTTTTGAACTCCTCGTTTATGAAAACCCCTTGATTCTGAATGTGAACGGATTTTTTGAGCCCGACTGTATATATGAATCTTGTAATGTGAACAGTAATAGATGGCGTCACACTTACGAAATACATTTCGATGGATTTTATTGGCTATATAATTATATCCATACAGAATATAAAAAGCAGAGAATAAAGAGAAACAATGAGAGAAATTCTTTCATTATCTGCCTATTAATTATGGCAGCAAGAAATGACTTAAATTTAGAACAAATGGTTAATTTAATTATAGATACTAAACAAAGAATGTCTTATCGATTATTGAAGGATTAATTCGATGTATTAGTTGGCGGTATATCAAATATTCTTAAAAGAAAAAATGAATATTTGGACGATTATGAATGTAACAAGAGCAAAAAAATGAAACGAAAATTACATTCTTTCGTTCTTCAGTTTCAATCAAAACTAATTGATATTTATCTTGATATAAGCACTTTGAAACAAAAGACTATTCAAGAGTATTTCCAGCGGATTTAAAGAAAATCTTCATTTCTTATTTAAAATAGTTGTATTAAAAAGTATTTTGTGATAAATAATGATAAATTATTGAATAAAAGTATCAAGTGATGATCAGAGAGTACAGAAAATAGTAAAGGAATTGTACTTAGATTAATTTTGGTCAAACTCCCTCCTATATGATCACTCCATCATTGTGAACGTTTTCGTAGGAACCAGCGGTATTCACATGAGTGAGGTTCTATTGTGTATCCATCACATACCCACACTCACACTCACGCCCATTGACGTATTTTTATGACCAAATAAGATATTATAGTAAGTATCAGGAACAAATACCAAGTATTCTTCTTAAAGTACAAGTACGAGTACAAATACTTGCGTCCTAGCTCTGGCAAGGACAGAATGTAGTTATAGAATGCTTAACTGTTACAAAAAGATACATTATACAGGATGCAGAATACGTTTATATTGAATTGAGAAAAATGCGTTGAGTATTATGATTATATAGGACTCCTCGCAATGGAGCGAATTTCTATTCGCAGATAATACTGCAGTCTAAGTTCAAATCATGATCAGTATCTTGGATAGCATCACAATGACACGGCTGTCAAAAATACGATGTGACGTCTATGTAGAAAATGTGTGTTCGGAGTAGTTGCCGAAACGAGTGCATTGGATAAATAATAGTTAATGTTATATTTTATGAAATCAGTACTACATAGATTTATGAATTATTCTTTTTAGTATAAGGGAGCATTTTTGTCCTATATGGAGTTTTTTCATATAGTTTTATACCTGATCTATCATTTAGTTCTTTGTCTTATTCTATTTTTTTTAGTATTTCTATTCAAAAATCATATCTACTGTTTTTTTTCTTTCCCCTAATAACGTCATTATCGCGTGCTCATATCTATCGTCTAAACGATACTTCATACGTTTGCACGTTCACTCTCTGTACAATTTTTTTTGCTTTCCTGTTGGTTTTATATATCTTTTTTCGTTCTGTGTCGTCTCTTCTTTTTTTTCGTACAGCTGTCGACGAACATCACTTACTAGTATATATAAAAGGTCACGTTTTTATAGATATAAAAAGCGATAGCGATAAAAAAAAGTTTATATACACATGACAAACGGTTCATAGACTTCAAATAAGAATAAAGCTTCGATGGATGAAAAAGGCAAACGAATTACAATATACAACGATCATGATCAATGGTGAACATTAGTTTCCCTAAATATGCCAGCGCAGTATGTAACGAATGTGCAAAAGAAGTCTTTTTCTTTCTATTATTTATTTTTGTTTTTTTTGCTTTCAAAAGAAATTTAGTGAAATCGATTAACACCGTCGTATCAACATTATTAATAATATATCCATTAGTTCAGCTCCAATATATACGTGATCATCTCTGTGCCAACTAGGTCTATTATTCAGTTCAAAGAAATATGAATGAGTTTTTTCAAGTGTCTACAAATCATCGAATACTATCAATCCGAAAGTGATAGAACTTCTGGAGATGAACGAGATTTGTCAGATATGCTCGATGAACTAAGAAGAGAAGAGATGCAACAAATTACTCAAAGTACTGTATATGATCGATCCTGCGACGATGAAATAGCTGAAATTATGACCGATAAATTGGAACATAGAGATGCTAATACGAATTTTTTTTCAAAACCAAAATGTGGATATTGATAAGATTTTGAACATGGAATAGGCTCCTGTTTCGCCAGTTATATCAACACAATATTCATATCCACCAATTCAGCAAACAGGTACCATATAGGACCACGATCTTCCTTATGTTGAATACAGTCATTTGGATCGACAGACTATTGCAGAAGAATGTGTCTTTAATCTTATTCGTTTTTCAATCAATCGCCACTGAATCGATATCGTGCCAAATCTTTTGACATTATATCATTCACAAATGTACCGAAAGAAGAAGTGTTGGCGAATATCCAGGATCGGTTTGGTGTTAACAAAATTCAATACCTTTGTATTGATGAAGAGATTAGTGAATGTAACCAGAAACGATACTTATATATACAACTTATATTTAAAGATAAAATCGATCGAAGAAGACCATTTATAGACGATATAACTGAAACACAATGTAACTATGACGCAACAAATAATGATCTGGCTTGGAATGAGTATTTAAAGAAAGGTACACGTATGGGTGTGGGTATGTATGTGTGCTTGAATCACAAATGAATACAAAACCCACACCCACACATCACACCAAAAGTTGAACTTTATAATCAAGCATTATCATTATCGTACATTATACATTACTTATTTTCTTCCTCTTTTAATATCTTTTAGTTAGTTTTGTTTTCACATATACTCAACTATTTACCTTTCTTTTTTCACAGTTTTCTATTCTAATAAATATGCATACAAAAAACATGTTATGATTGTTAGCATCTTGAGGGTGCAGGAGTGGATGTTTAATAACAAACTGTCGTATCTATCGTGAAGAAAGATAAATACAATCTGCTCTTCTCAAATTTTGCTTTTCAGTTATCGATTGTGTTGTTATTGAAGTAAAAGGAATATAATAATTGAAAAAATACACAGTTCAATATTTCGACGCATTTCGTGTTGTTTATTAATATAGAAACACATCAGGTTTTGTATAAACTGGTCAAAATAATAGTAAGTAGAAAGGGCGGGTGGATGTTCACTCGAGAAAACTGTAAGATCCACACTCAGGCCCTAATTTTACCTACGTACAGTAGTCAACCTTCCCTCGTCAGCTCATTTTGATACGCTCGATTACTAAAGTAATGACCAAAAACGAGTGAATATGTTTACGCTTCTTAGACTGCAAAAACTGTGAGAATCTTATGAATTCAGCATCAAAGTATTCGTCTCAACTTGATCTTTCGTTGAAATGAAATTGAATAGGGTTTATTTGGAATAATATATTTATTCTTTATACAACAAATTATTTATTGGCATTTAACGTTTATAGTTTCTGTTTCGACTACTTGAAGATCATCTGTATTCTTCAATGGAATATTGATATTGTCGTTTTGTACAGATGGTTGTTTATTTATTCCTCTTTCTATCCATTTTTTTAATAGAATAACTTCGATAGCACCAATTGCTAATTGTTCAACATGATAAATAATCATTGGTAGTGAGAGTACACCAGTGATATCTTGATTTTGATTTCCATAGAAAGCATTTATCAATGTAATTCCTATTGTTAAAGCTTTTGTTGCACCACAAAACATGATTGCTACGGTATCTTTTCGAGAAAACTGCCAGCGTGGAATAGGTAATCTAGCTATAAACATAATCAATGATGAAAAAAACACATAAATTCCGGCATCAGTTAAAACTAAAATGAGAAGATCTTTTTTCTGTATTGCCTGAAATGATCCAGTGGCAAAAGCTGTACAAAATACTGCCCAAACCAAGGTTAATATTGCTAAACTAGTGACCTCAGCAAAATAGAGTTTTTGTCGTAAATCCATTACTTGTTTTGGCCATAATAAACGAATTATTTGTCCGACAAAAAAAGGAATTAAAGCAGTTAAAATTAGATTTCTAATGATACGCCCGTAATTTACTTGACCATTAGTATTATTTGTAATTGATAATGAATCAAATACTGGATTTTTTAGAAAATAAAATATCATAGCTGGTGAAACGAATATTCCTAGAAGATTTCCAAGAACGGCATTCAATAATGCTGCATATTCATTTCCCATTGCATTTTTAGTCATAACAGAATTACTTGAAATAGTTGTACAACTGGATGCCATTATAATTATACCAACTATCAATGCTTTATTTAAAGATAATTTTATTAATAATAATGCTAAACCATAAGTAGTAAATGGAACGATTATTAAACTATATATTTGAACAAGAACATGAAGACGAATATGAAGCAATTCTTGAAGAAGTTGTTGCGTTCTTACTGATAAACCGCTTAGAAAGAAAAGTAAGATAATACAACTTAATTTAACAGTCCATTCAGACCGAATATATCCACCTGTTTTACCTACATTTGGAAATAAATATGCAAGACAAATCACCAAAATTAAAACAATATGAAACCAAAACTTTTGAAGAATTGTTAATAAACACGACGAACGATTTTCTTTAGTCTATTTTTCAGTTGTTCATCTTGAATATTTTGCATATATGTATGAACAGGTAGAGCCAATGTAGACAAACAATATAAGCAAACGAATTTATCATTATAAACAGCACAAATCTGAGGAGTATCTGTTAGGAAGATATTGTCTAATAGAATGTTACTCGAAACCATGAGAATTATTGAACAGTGACTTTTATCAACTGTATATTCTTTGAATTCATCATAGTTTTTAAATTCATTTATGAATTTGATCCCTAAGACATCTTCGTCGGATTCATTTCCAAGCCAAACAAGTGAAAAATGATTCTTGTCACAGTTTCGAATTGACATTTAATTTTTCATTTAATAGAAAAACGTTGATCTGTAATATAAATAGATATGCTTTTAGGATTAGAAATCTTAATGAATCTTTGAAATGATGAATAGAAATAAATAAATCATCTTTTTACTCTATCATACTTAGTAAAATGTGTTGATCTATAGAATATCGAATATGTTTTAATCAACATTCTTCTTATCTATTCTTCTTTCGAAAGTGTACTTTGAAGGACACCATACATAAGGATCGATCATTGCGCAAAATGATAATTGAAAATGTTATTCGATACAATTTATATAAAATTAATCATCTTTCATTTAATTCAATATATTCGTTAGAGTGAATCACATCAATGGCGAGTGAGTTAACGGCTTAATTGTAGAAAGAGTCTATTGTGATGATCCAAAAATCATGAAAAAAATACGATTATACATTTACGCTTGATCTATTCTAGTTTTAAACGGTTCACACACACACTCACACCGTCGAAAAGATAATATTATGTGGTTCACGATAAATTTATTTATGTTAAAAATATGAATACATTAATGCACACAGATTATTTTATACAAGTCAATCAAACACCTGTGAATATCAAAGAAAATCATTATTTTTGTCATTGTATTCGTCTCAGTTTATTTCTTTTGTGATGCAAGAAATTTATTTAATGTTGCATTTGCTTCATCCCATGATTTTATTTCTGTTGATAATCGTTTTACCCATGCTTGTACATTTGGATAATCATCATATGAAGCGCTCGCAACTGGTAACATCACTACTTCACAGACTAATGCAATATCAGCAATTGAAAGTTGATTTCCACCAGCAACATAATTATTTTTACTTAAGTTTTCATCCATGAATGTTAAACTTGATTTTAACACTTCATCACCTTCTTTTTTTAATTCATCAATTGTTTGTTGGGAATAATTTTTAATAGGACCAAATACATTTGCTTTAATTAAACGAACAGATCCATGACGAAGATTCGAATGATGCCAATCTAGCCAATAATCAACTTTAGCACGTTGTTTTGTATCTTTTGGATAATAATGATCAGGTAGATTTCTACTTTCACATAAATAACGCATTATTGTATGTGATTCACCTAAATGAAAACCATCGTCAACAATTGATGGAACCTTTCCACATGGATTTATTTGTTTGTAAGCAGCGCCTTGAGTTTCTTCCTTCATTATACCGATTTCGTGAACCTGATGTTCAATGTTATTATCCATCAATAACATGGAGACCGCACGGCAAGGTTGAGATAACCAATCAGTATATAATTCAAGTACCATTTTAGAAATCTGAAAAGAAAATGTATATATTGACTTTATGTTAAAATGTCGTCGCTTGCTTTCTATCTAATGTTTTTTTTATAAAAGACGGTATTCTTTGTTGACTTTTTGGCACCGAATTATTTCGTTCTTATCTATTACCACATAATAATATTATATCAATTCGTTTCTCTCGTGATTAACTAATTCTGCTGTAGTTTTATCTTTATTAACAATCGTAGGATAAATAATAACAGTAAAAAATAAGGAATTAATTGCTCGATACATATCTAAACAACTGAAAATATAGGTCGTTACAGAGGGTAACAACTTCGAGATCTATAAAAAATTCTAGGAAAAATATTTCAAAAAGTCTTTGAATAAGATGAAAATATTAAGTTGATATATCAATTAGGTTGCAATGGTAATATAAATTCTACTAACTTGTCTTACGTCTTCGATATTTGATAATTATTTTAAGAATATGATTATTATTAGGGAAGGAATGGAAAAGGATGTATAAAAACAAATATATGAAAGAAGAAAAAAGAATAAAAGGAGTAAAGTTTGTATAAATGAAAATTGTCTTTTAGTCAAATTTAATAAGTTCAGTATAAGGCATTGATGTTTATGACATTTTCCATTATTTGTATCATTAAAATCAAATGTAATTATACTTGGATCTGCTGAAGATGTTCGTGACATATCTCTTACTGTTGATGAAGAAGACATACGTCATGCACATAATAAATGATCTGTATGCGTTGTTTTTCTTATTAGTAGAATTATATTTCATTGTATAAATGATGAACTAGTTTTATCTTTATTATTAATTTGATTAACTTCATTAAAATGATCTTTTAAAAGTTGATATTTATCTTTTCTATTATCTTTTCTATAAACTAAGTAAATTCCAATATGTATAATTAAACCACCAACAGTTAATACTTTTGTCGATGAAGAAAATGATAATGTTGCAGAATTTGAAGTTGTACTTAAAGATACATTAAATGAGTAACCATTTATTATAATTAAATTTGTTTCAAGATTTTTTTTTATAGCATTACTATTTTAATTAATTTAAAAAAAACTATATATATTGTATTATAAGTAATAATTGAAAGAGAAATATTTAAGAAATAATAGCACGTGTTATTTCTGATTGATTATTTTCATTTAATGAATCATAATGTCCATCAAATTCAATATATGATACTGGATCACTAACATCAACTGAAAGAACAACTAAAAATTAAACGAAAAAAAATTTCTTAATATAAAAATAATTGTATTTTCTTTAACTAAAACTCGATTTGAAGATGTTAGTATCATATTTAAAATATACATTCCAATATAATTAATTGCTGAATTGTATTGTAATAATTGGTAAAGTGATATACCTGCACTCCAGTCTCTTGATATTTTTAATAATTTGTGTAAAAAACACGAATATGTTGTTAGTTGATTTTTTGTTATATGTATAAGATCGAATATTTTCTTATAACTATTTCAATTATTAATAATCAATTCTAATTTTACAATATCAAGTACAATATTTTATTTTAATAAAACTTTTACTGTTATTTCCTAATGATAAGAATGATATAGACATTTGATAATAAACTTAAACAAATTGAGTTATTTTAGATAATATTATTCGAAAGAGATAAAATGTTATAAATAAAAATCCTTCCAAATATATATCGATATAGAATAAGAATTTCTACATATTATTACTTGTTGATTATTATGGTATGTTTTCTTTTGATAGATATATTTGAAAATATATTCATATGATATAATCTTGCTGATCTTAGTACGATTGATGATAAAATTTATTAGTTTTAATTGTTAAGAAATCTACAAATATTAGTATACTACGATAATTGATATAAATAAAATAGCGTTAATGAATAAGAATAAATAATAAATGTCAATATATTTTAATTGTGAGCATCTAAAAGATGTAATTGCGTATTAGTAATGAGTGAATGTGTTTTGAGTTGTTTTAACATTTCATTAGCAATAGTTTCTTCTGGTTTGTTACGAATAGCTACTATTTGATAAGATCCACATGGTTGAATACGACGCATTTGTGTAATAAGATTTTGAGCATATGTAGATATAGATGATGATGATGTTATTGCTGGTATTTGTAAAGCATAGATATCATTTGATGATGTTTCATCTTTTTGCTTAGATAATTTATCAATAAAAAATGTAAATAAATCTTCATTATTATTATCATTTGATATTTGAGTAATACAAAACAGAGTTGAAGTATTATTTTGATTCGAACGATGTAGACAAATGATATTTTCTAAACCAGTATATGTTGATGTATTAGAAAGTTGAAGTTCATTTTCATTAATCAACTCAAATTCTGAATCTTGTTCTTTTGCAGCTGATGATTTTGTTTGTTCTTTTTCATTAAGTTTATTATAAACAAGTGTTGCAATTGTTTTAATTGAAAGTCCTTGAAGAAGATCAACTAATGGTATATAAATGCCAGTTTCTAAACCTAACCAATTATATAATGAAACAGCAGCTAATGAATCCATACCTTGACTAACAAGTGAACGATCAATAACTATACGATCAACACTAGTTGCACCTAATAATCGTGCAACCGTTGATTGAGTTCGTTCAATAATTGTTTCTTTTTTGTTCATAGTAGACTCATTTGAATTACTTTTTCCTGAGGATGATGGTTGATCGAATTTCATTTCTTTATAACGTTCATCTACGATTTTTCTTAAATAAGATGTAGCTAATGTTGGATAATTTCGATGTAATATTTGCCAATTAACAGCAAAAATAACAGGGCATGGACAAATCTTTTGAGTTTGATGAAAACATTCAATTAATTCGAATACAGTTACTGTTGGCATTAATTCAAAACCTTGTGTCTCTTTCAAAGTACTGAGCATTTCTTTATGACGATGAAACATTCCAGCACCACTTACAGCTGGTAAACTAATTGACAGTGCTGGCAAACTAAGTTTTGTAGAACGATAATGAGCAAGTGCATCAAGAAATTGATTACCAGCATTATAACCAGCAGATGCAACTTCAAGTAAATGATTTCGAATTGATGAAAACATAATAAAAAAATGAACAGGTGCATGAAGAAGTTGTGTAGCTTGATGAAGATACCATGCACCACGAACTTTTGGTGGTAAAACAAGTGATAAATGTTCTTGTGTTAAATTGCCTAAAGTACGATCTTCTGAAACAACAGCACTATGAATAATACCACGAATAGGATAAGAAGTTTTTTGAAATCTTTCAATTAAGTCATGAACTTGTTGAAAATTTGTTACATCGGCTTGAACAACATCAACATGAGCATTATATTCTTTTGTTGTTCGTTTTACTCTTAACCATTCAGCATATTGTGGATTCGAAGGTTGTTCAAGTTGAACTAATGTTCGACGACTCATAAGTGCTATATGTTTAACACCTCGGTGTTCAATCATCCATCGAGACATTGTTAAACCAAGACCACCAAAACCACCAGATATTAAAATTGTTCCTTGAGTACAAACTTCTAATGAAAACATTGTATTATCACTTACAACTATTGATTAAGAAAAAATAGTTATTGAAAGAAAAAAGAAGATACGATTACCTTTTAATAAACTATCAGATTGTTTCTTATTAATATTTAATGGTTGATCAGATGAAGTTATACGAAAAACTGTTTTACCCATAACTTGACCGCTACTGCATCTTAATAATGCTTCTATTACTTGAGATGGTTCATAAGTAACTGTTGGTTCCACAGCACGTAATTTACGTTGAACAAATAAGTCAATTGCTTCTTCAAGCATAATATGAATAAGAGGCGATATATGATCAGCAAGTCCAGCAAAGTCAATCACATGAAAACTACAATCTGATCGTAATTGAAACATTGATAAATTGCCATTATGATAAATATCTTTTTTACCCCATTCAACAAAATTACCATGATATGCTAATAATTTAATTGATTCTCTTAATAAAATACCTGATAATGAATTAACAATAACATCAACACCTTGTGGGAGAATTCGACGTATATCATTAACAAAAGAAGTATCTCGACTATTAAATACATGTTCAATACCATAATATTCACGAAGAAAACGTCGTTTTTCTTCAGTTCCAGCTGTAGCAATAACACGAGCACCAATATATTGACAATATTGAATACACATTTGACCTGCAGCACCTGTTGCAGCATGAATAAGAACAGTTTGATCAGATTGTAAATGAGCACGATATTTAAGAGAATAAATAACTGTTAAAATTGGACATGGTAGACCACATAATTGTTCATCAGTAAGAGGGAAATCAGATGGAATACGTATTGTAAGTTGCGAATTAATCATAATATGAGAATGATATGCACCAAGATTAGCAGAACCTAAAACATGATCACCAACTTGAAAATTAGTCGTTGTAGGATCTACACGTACAATAGTACCAACAAAATCTGAACCTGGTTCTGTATCTTGATTAACTTTTGGTTGATTTTCATCAGATTGTCCAAAAGTACGTGTATATGGATAAAGACCACGTGATTTGAGTACATCACGAAAATTAATACCAACACAATGAACACGAACTTCTACCATACCTGGTAATAATTCTTTTTCTCTGTCTTCTTCGATCCATGTTAATTCAGAAAGAAAACGAGATGGTGGTACACGAATACGGAATGGTTTGTGATCAGCATCTCGTTTAGGAATAATAGAAATTTGTTCGTATTTAGATTTCTCTTCTTCATCATTATTTTGTAACATTTCATAATGCCATGTTAAATGTTGAACTTGATTTTGTTTTGTATGATTAAGGCGAAGAACAACTTCACAAGTATCAGTTGAATATCTTGAATTAATCATATATTCTATTAAAGTACGAATAAATATTGATTGATTATTATTATTTAATGATGTTTGAAGATCAATAAGTTTTAATCGATTTCGTTCATATTCAATTATTAAACTTCGTGCAAGACCAATAAATGATGATGC